GAGCTCTATCGTGAGCGACCAACTCCCCGCCATATGCCAGCTTTTCTCAGTGAGAGCGTCCGCGGTATCACGAATAATAATATTATACACACTCCGGATATCTTTTTGTTTGGCCACTTGCAGAGATCTCACTTCAGTGGCTAGACCAACTTTTCCCCTTGAGCAATTTCTAGTTTTCTAGTATGCTTATTACTATGCCAAATATCGAACACTATACAGCCTTTTCGTCATTGAGCATTGGCTCTCGAGATACTGGAATGTTCTCAGCCTTGCTATCAATCTCTCAATCTGCGAATCCTCCGGCTTATGTTCATACAACATTTTTCAAAACATTCCTTTCTTTACTTTCTTTAAATTATTTTTTGTGCCAATATCAGCGAAAAAAAAAAAGCGCGCTTCTGCGTATGCCTTTTACTACCTACATTTTCTGGCGCATGAGCGACATACAAAACACTATCAGGTTTTAAAAATTTTCATGCTTTCGTCGGTGGGGAGCCATGGGTTGGCTTGGGTCGCTGAATTTGATTCTCTAATGGGTTTTCTGATCTTACGATATGATGCCATCTGGAAATCTTAGCGAACTCTCCTTTCTTTCCTGAAGAATATCGAATGTGAATGTGCACGGGGGAGGAAAATCGACGATAATTATGGAATGGATGGATAACCTTTCATGCAACCCTGGCTTACCTAGGCCTGATTTGGCTTGATCTTTGATTAAATTTGAAGATATTGCGAGATATACCCTTAACGGCCTTGAATGGAATGATTGCGGTGGAGCATTATTTGTGTGTACTCTAGAGTCGAAGAGCTTCTCTGACGACTTCGACAAAGAACATGATCATTAGGCTAGTGAATAATATTCATTTGCATTTATTTATGTGTGAACTTGAGTTTTGATATATATGAATGGTGTCATGTCATGGAAGTTGCTCAACATTAGTTGCAGCTGATTGTAGTAGGTGATGTGGAGGCAGGTACATATAGTAAAGAATGATGGAGAGGGTGTTGAGTGAACAAGATGAGTGAGATACGTAGTTGTACTGCAAAGCAGTTTAACCCCAGGCATTTAAAGCATTCAATTTACTCAGCACCTAGGAGTAAAGACTGAGAGATAGATAGAATACATTATAGCTCCAAATCTATTACCAGTCCATTTATCCCGCTAGTAAGTGTGAAGTGTGTGTGCTTTCTCTCTGCTCTGGTTTAATAGGTCGGTATTCTTTGGTTTTGGCTGGGTTTGATTGTGTATTGTATATATGTATATGTATATATGACTATTCGTCGGTGGTTTGGGGTACTTATAGTGTTGGTTTATAGTTAGTGTAAGTCACAGAAGAAAGTAGGGTTCCATCAAGACAGCGCAGCAATTGGTAGAGTATATAGGTATGGAATTCCTTGTGGTACTTTCTGAATTTTTGAGGCCAATTCACGTATGAAGGAGGCTAGATAAGGAAATGGTTGTGCTCTTAAAGGTGGATGGATTAGTTAGGGAGTTAGTTAAATATAGGATGTGCTAGTAGATTTTGGCAGAGAATTATTCTTGCTGAGCAGTATATCATTATTCGATGTGTGTTCATAAAAGCATAAATATTTATTGGTATTTGACCACCACCAGCTTGTTATTCTCTGCTTGACACTTACGACACTTAAGGAATGAGGAGATACGGATTATGGCATTTGTTAAATAGACCCTATCGAGACTCTGAAACTAGTAAAGCGTCTGCGGGAGATATTTGGATGTTTATATATTCATGGTATGTCTCCTGTTGCAAATACATAGGCCTTCAATGAGGGTTATTGGGAATCCTGTCACGGTTATTTTTTTACTTCTTATGGAAGGGGGTCTTGGGCTGTGTGTATGTCACTGCACGAAGAACAATGCTTCTTTCTTGTATGTGGTTTCAACTTCTCTTTCCAGGAGGAAGTGGGTGCTTATAAAAAAAACTTTTCCTTTAAAGCGGGTACAATGCATGTTGTACCTTCTATTTGAAGGCAAGCTCGCTCTGGGAAGACAGCATTTGGAAGTGGAATACAGACTAGATAAACCTCTAAGCTAAACTCGGTAGATGTGGGTAAGAGTTGTTAAACTCTCTTCGTTTGTACATGGAGTTTGGTACAGGTGTACTTGACTGGGAATTACGATTATTCATGTTTAGTTTCATCATTGGGCTTGGCTGTCTCTGATATAGGAGTGACATCATGCTACTATATCATTTAGTCTATACCATTAGCTCATCCAAAGTTTTGATCGATCACTCCAATTAGTTGAGTTGACTGCTGTTAGGCCTAATATGGCAAGTACGATACTGTATAATCAGGACTCGTAGCACCAAGAATAAGACAACCATCTTCACATCTACAATATAGAATCATTCAGTACCCTGAAGTTAACTTGACGGAAACGGTTTGTATAACCACTAGGGTGGATTATGTCGAGGATACCAGTACATCCCCTTGGAAATTTGAAAGGGAGTTCTTATCCTTTCTCCCAAAACGTTCACATACCTACCACCCCTCCACCATTAATATCCCCCTCACTAAGCGAACCAAACATGTGTATCATCTCGTAGCTGAAAAAGCTTTGGTTACATCGCTCGCAGCCTAAGGATCAGTCATATTCTGACGGAGTCTTCGATCCGATGGCCGCGACCGATCTAATTCATTTATTTTCATCTATCTCGGAGAAATCGATCCGTGATAAATAAAACGAGGTCATATCATTGAACGCCGCGAGTCTTGGCATCATGTACAGCAGATTGAAAAGGGCTTGGGAGTGCTTATAGCATGTGACTTGGTGGAGTCTCTCAAGTCTCCTTTTTCCAGGAGGGGAAGTTAGGTGTGGAGAAGGCTTGCTGATTATATTATGGTGGTTGATAGATAGCATGATTGCGATTGCGGAAAAGGAAACGGGGAAGATTTTCGCATAAGTTTGGACAAAGCGATGTATACACTTTTTAAGTAGTTTATACTTTGTACCCTAACCAACTCATTCCAGCTATATCCACAGTATTTCCCTTTAGACAACCCAGTCTCCACTTACACTAGTCAACTAAGCACATCAAGCCTCCAAATCTGACCCAATAGCCCCATCTAGACCAGAAATCGATAATCCACCCCAACATACCCCACAACCCCACACCGTACGCCATCTGATCCTAAACCGGAATGCGGACCTCCAATTTTAAGATTACAAGACAATGTAAAACCCATTTCTCTCCCGCGCCTTCTCTCCACCTTTACTCCTCAAACTTCACGCCTCACGCCTTCTACTACCACCCTGTCTCCTACATTTCCACAAAAACCCCACTTCGTGATTGAAAAGGGATGAAGAGGGGCAAAGAGATGTCTTTGTTGCATATCTTATTTATGTGGGCCGTGACACTTGGGCTTGGTGATGGCTTGTCTAGGGGATGATTTGAGGGGCGGGTCGGGTGGTAAGGCTAGATAGGGGAGTTGGGGGGGGAATTTGGTATATCAGGGTGGA